TGATAAGCGGATTACCATTCAGTCATAGGTATTTTATGTGGTTTTTGATGGTGATCATGTGGCTTGCAGTCACATCAATGGCTTTAACTTACTTGTTTTCGATATTAGCCTTGACACCACGTACTGTGTTAAAAGAACTGGACCGTCAATTGATAATAGCAGTGAGCACATGGTTGGGCCTGATGACCTTGCTCGTTCTTAGCCATAGCATTCGCTTAACATACAAGTGGATGAAAGGTAAGAGAAAGCAGAGGAAAGGGAGCCACCAGGATTACACAGTTTGATCAATGTTTTCTCCTAGAATTTAAGAAACACTTGTGGAACATATGCATGCATGCATTTATTTATCTCTGTGCTTTGTGTTTTGGCATTAATTGGTCGCTTCTTGAGTCCAGGCATATCTTGTATTAATAATCACTACCCCCTCTGTCCACAAGCTCCTGTACATGTATTTTCAAATGTTTTTCTTAAAGCATCTTGTTATTTTGAAATGACCATGTTAAACTAATTAAATGGTTTTGGAAATCAGCTGGATGTTCTAAGGTAAAATTATACCTTTGTTTTTCCTTGATAGAAGTAAAATTATGCCTCTTTATGGGAAAATTACACTGTGTTCATCTCGTGGACGAATTCTTTTAATTTGTTTGTCAGAATAGGCCGTTCATTCAAATCGGATGGTCGGACCGTCGACCTGAAAACCGGTGGCCAGAACAGTTCCATTTCCGAGTCATTTCTTACAATGTTGATGTAGATCATTCATAAATGTATATGAGATACATAAAATCTAAAAGTGTGGACTGATTCAGTCCATACAATTTGTCCACATTTCACATTTCAGAACAATTGTGAATTCTGGTATAAACACCCCTTTAGTGAATAGTAGTTCTGTACTTGCAACAATAGAATTTGACCTCTATTAACAACAAAAAGTAGCTCTTTTATAAAATATTGCACACACAAGTTATCTTTTGCAAGGTAATATCATAAAAGGCAATTAAGCATTTGGTGCATCCACCGTACAGTCCGGATTTCCTACTAACTTCCCTCTACTCCCCTCTCTACTAACCCATTAAAATTATTCTGCTTCCCTAAGTCCTATCTAGTGTAACGATTGACTAATGCCTTAATTAATCCCTCCGTTAGATACTATTTTAAAGAAATACCTATTTTTATGCATTCATTAAATAGTTCTAAAAATAAAAAAATAATAATTTTGGGTGGCCTGTAACTAGGGGTGCTCATGGTTCGGGTAACTGAACCGTGGGCCTTTTTTGTGAATCAAACAAGTAGTGGAAAACCGGTAATCAGAACTGAATCAAAACCAGTCAGTTAATTGGTTAATTAGTTCGGTCGTCGGTTTTTTTTTGTTTTTTTGACTTTATAATATTTATTATAAATATAATAAAAATTATAAATATATATAATATTATATTTTAAATAATAAATAATATATAATATATTATAAATATATATATTTATATATAATGCGTATTTATTAATTTATAATATGTAAAATATATATATATATATAATATACATAAATATATAGAAATTATATAGAAAAACACGTATACCGATCAGTTCAATTAACCACCGGTTTTTTAAATTGGTTAACCGAAACCAAACTACTACCTTCGGTTTTTTAAAAACACCAAACTGAAACCGAACCGAGCAGTTCGATTAACCAATTTTTTGGTTCGATTTTTTCATTTTTTGCTCAACCCTATCTGTAACTCTTTTTCCATGCATGAGTTTGCTTTACTAGGTTTAGAAAATAAATAAAAATAAAATATCTATGCCTAGTAAAGCGAATTCATGCATGCAAAAAGAGTTACAACCACCCAAAATTATTATATTTTTATTTTTAGAAATATTTAATTATTGTATAAAAATAGGTATTTCTTTAAATAGTGTCTAACGGAGGGGTTAATTAAGGCATTAGCCAATCGTTACGCTAGATCGGACTTAGTGACAGCTGGAATAATTTTAATGGGTTAATAGAGAGGGGAGTAGAGGGAAGTTAGCAGGAAATCCGGACTGTCCACCGTATTGGAAATGCCTTTGATGCACTTTTTATGACAAAACTGCCTCTCTTCCTCTTTTTCTATAAAATGCATCAAATACCCAAAGAAATCTCCATCTAGCAGCAGTCCAAGGCCAAGTGGAGGTGGTAAAAGAGCTACTTCGGCTAAGACCCCAAGCGACCCGAGCCCTTGTGGATTGTCGGCAGACTATTCTAAACCTCTGCGTGAAACATGACCGCTTAGAGGCGCTTAAGCTGCTGGTGAATTCAACTGGTGATCACGAATTTGTGAACTCCAAAGATGATGATGGCAACACAATCCTGCATCTTGCAGCAGCTGATCGGCAGATTGATGTAAGCTTTTCATGCTTCTTACCTAACTTCGATCGCTTTTGATTTTGGTTAGATATACACGACATTCGTTTAATTTTCTTCCAAGAGCAATATCAATTGGCATATTGCTTGAAACCCATTATTCATTAATTAAGTGGATTCCACTAACAGATTTGAAAATCAAGAGTGGGTTATGACCTTCTG